TAAATTATTTTCGATTTTAAAAGCTTACATACAATTCATCAAAATCTTTGTATGTTGTTATTTCCATATCTTTTCCATTTTCCATTTGTTTTTCATGTATAATTTCATTAATTATTTCCTGTTTAATTTGCTCTCTACTTACAAGTTTTATCTGTACGATTAGCTTACTAGCTTCCTTACTATACTCTCCATATTGCAAGTTTGAGGTTAGTGCAAAATTTGGGTTGTCTTGGTAGATTATAAAGCTGTTTATAAGCTTGACGGGACTTCTTTTATTTTATTTTGCTACTTTTTCATTAGTATGGTAAAAATAGCCACAAATTATGCACATAACTGCGCCTATTTTTACACTTGAATGACACTCGTAATGTCTATTGAGCGTGGCATCAGGCGGGTCCTTAGCGCTCGAGGCGATGTTGGTGAGCCATTATGTATACATGGCTATTTGAAATTTTCTTCCATCTTAATAACCTAGTTAAACTTAAAAGTTGAAGAAACATAAATTGATTTTGTTGTTTTTAAGAATATTACTTTTAAAATTCAAATCTGCATACAAATCTTTTAGTGAATCAAACATACATCGGAGTAAGGTTTTTCTTTTTAGAAAGATATAAATTTTGTGTGAAAGAAAATATCGAAAAAAACTACTCGAATATTCAAAACTCCAAGGCTCTGTAAAGCTTAAAAATTGTAAATATAATGAAATAAAATCAGGGGTGCCCTATCATTTTGAGAACAACTGTATTAATGGGCGAAAAAGTAGCATGGAGTAGAATTAAATTCTAAATTAATGAAAAAAATAATTGTTTTTAAGTTTTATGCGTTAATTCTATAAAAACCTATATATTCATATTAAATAATAACATAGACCGACAAAATTTTAAAGAAGTTTAGTGCCCCAGACTAGACAAGGTATTTTCGAAGGAATTTGGTGCGCTAAATCCGAATCCAAGCTCAGAATTGCTTCATCACTCTCAGTTTTTAGACATACTAATCTAAAAGCATCAAAAATACATTTTTTATAGTTTTAATAAATTTAAAGACTTGATCTTATAGTAATTGTCCATCACTTACTATTCGCTCCTTCGCTGCACTTTAAACTAAGAAATAGTCATTAGAGTATATCTAAACCTAAAAATGAGACCGAATGATTGTGAGAGCCAACGAATGAATCGGTAAAGTCATGATTCTTCGTTACAAATGTTATAACGGGGATTTCATTTAGTAAATCCTGTGTACTATATACAGGGTGTCCCATTTTAACTTACGCACCAAAATAACCCAAAAACTATGAGAGCTAGCGAAAAATGTGTTGAATAAAAGTTACTCGTCTCCGAGGGGGACATATTATGGTGACCTTGACTTTGACCTTGAGGGTCATTTTCAAGGTCATTCGAAGGTCAACTTTGTTTTTTCAAATAGGAACCCCTATTTTCGACCCCGGATTCGGAAAGAGCGGAAAATTCTACGTTTAGATGACCTATCATGCGTGGGGTCCGGGAGACCCGCCAAGGTCATTTGAAGGTCAACTTTGTTTTTTTCAAATAGGAATCCCTAATTTTAACCCCGGATTCGAAAAGTACAAAAAATCCTAAATATTTTATGTAATGAATTAATTCAACTTTCCATGGCCATTTAAACGTCAAATTAATGGCAAATTACTTTACTCAGAACAGTTTCATGTTTTCATATGAGAAATAAAGTATGCGTAAATTTTAGAACACACTAAATTTATTCAACTTTTTATGTACAGAATTTAACAAAAAAATATTAGTCATTAGTAGTAATAATCAACAGTATTAGTCAATCTGATGAGGAATAACTCAATAATAACAATAATAATGATCTGGCAATAAGTTGGTGATGAATGATGCGCACGCACAATTACATGAGATGTTCAATAGGTCCCCCATTGTTTGCTAAGCATGTTTCCAAACGCCGATGATAATTATTGAGAACGTTTGTAAGTATTTCAGGCGTAACAGCTGCACAAGCTCTTCTCACTCTATCCATCATATCTAATCTAGTGGTAGGTGCATCCTTGTAAACAGCGTCCTTGCAATATCCCCAGAAATAGCTGTCTAGTGGATTCAGGTCAGGAGACCTAGGTGGCCAGGGAACTGGACCACCTCGACCTATCCAATGGTCACGTAATTGAGCATTCAAAAATTCTCTAACGTTTACAGCAAAGTGAGCTGGAGCACCATCTTGTTGTAGCCACATGAGCTGCCGAACATTCAGTGGGATGTCCTCCAAGTATTCAGGTAGATGATTCTCCAGAAAATCAAGATACGCCTGGCCGTTGACATTGCCATCAAAAAAATGGGGACCAATAATATGCCCGTTGAATATTCCCACCCATACATTAAGACTCCAACGGTGTTGATTTATCACTTGACGATGCTAATGAGGATGGACAGGTGACCAATAATGACAATTATGTCTATTGAGTTTACCGTCACTTTTGAAGGTAGCTTCATCGCTAAAACAAACATTCCAAAAGAAATTGGGATCCTCGTCCAGTTGATTAAGAGCCCACCTACAGTAATTCATTCTGAGTAAATAATCATTTTCATTGAGTTCTTGGTGCAGGATGATGTGGTATGGATGGTAACCCACGGATCTTAACATCCGATGAGCAGTAGTACGAGGTACGCCCAACCGACGTTCGATTTCTCTTGTACTGATGTGAGGATTCACATGAACCATTGCTAACACAGCAAGAAGTCTTGGATCATTGTTGTTCACATTTCTGTTTCCATCTCTCTGTCGATGAAGATCATTCATACGGCAACGTCTTTCGATATTTCTGATTTGCCTGTCATTAGGATGGCGCTGGTTCGGAAAACGTTCAGCATAGAGCCGAGCAGCAGCTCGGTAGTTCCGGCGACATTCACCAAGTACTAACAATATTTCAACGACTTCATTTCCTGCATAATTGGTCATTCTGTGAAGAAATATCAAAGACGTAATGCATATTTGAAAGATAACACTAACCACAAGAGTGGTAATAATTTGTTAATACTTACATGAAAAACGCTCAACGACTTTTTCAACAGTTGTTAAAAAAATGCTTACTATTAATAATCACTCATCTCAACACTAAATTCGTCACTCCGTTCAAAACAAAAATCGACGTTTTTATTCAAAAACTTACTTTTACCTCTAAATGAGCATAAAGAATTGAATACACGTTACATCTCGACGTTGACAGAACGGACAACCTTCCATACTTCCCGAATCCGGGGTCGAGAATAGCGATTCCTATGAAAAATAGTTAACCTTCACATGTTCTTGAGTGATCAACCACAAGTTACACCTTGCCTGAACGTAGAATTTTTTGTTGTTTCCGAATCCGTGATAAAAAAAGTAGGGTACTCCAGGAAAAAACAAAGTTGACCTTCAAATGACCTTGGCGGGTCTCCCGGACCCCACGCATGATAGGTTATCTAAACGTAGAATTTTCCGCTCTTTCCGAATCCGGGGTCGAAAATAGGGGTTCCTATTTGAAAAAACAAAGTTGACCTTCAAATGACCTTGGCGGGTCTCCCGGACCCCACGCATGATAAGTCATCTAAACGTAGAATTTTCCGCTCTTTCCGAATCCGGGGTCGAAAATAGGGGTTCCTATTTGAAAAAACAAAGTTGACCTTCAAATGACCTTGAAAATGACCCTCGAGGTCAAAGTCAAAGTCACCATAATATGTCCCCCTCGGAGACGAGTAACTTTTATTCGAAACATTTTTCGCTAGCTCTCATAGTTTTTGGGTTATCTTGGTGCGTAAGTTAAAATGGGACACCCTGTATATATATATATATATATATATATATATATATATATATATATATAGAGGAATTTTTATTTCAGCTCCGTGTAAGCAACTATTGTAGGTCCTGTTTAATAGTACAGCGGTGCCTTTTACATAACTTTTTCACCTTCTGGGTCCATGGAGAGCAGCATGCATTTCTACACCGTAGTCAAGAAACACGACAATATAAATGGGTACGCGTTTTAGGAATGTCAGAAATACAGGAAGAAGTACAACAATAAGAGTTAGGCGTGAATATATGTACACTTATATGTACATAAACTGTAACGATGGAAAAAAGATACTATATTACAAAGAGAGTGTGCAACTTAGCATACGAAAGAAAAACAACAGTAAGAGATGATTAGAAGGAGGGTGAGAAGGAAACATACGAGCCTAACGCACAAACTCTCGTGTATTCGCTCGATAATCTGATAAGTCGCTCACTCTGTTGTTTAATACCTTCGCCTGAACAATAGTGCTGGTAGGCACTCTTGATGGGTAGCAAGCAAGTGTTATTTCGCCATTAGCGACGAATATCTTTACATACCTTGTATTTGAGTCAAATGTACATTGCCTAACACATACTAGGTTGTTCAATAAGTTCGCAAAATAACATCTACTCGTATACGTTAACAGTAGAAGGAAAATTCACGCCATTTTGAATTTTTATCTTTTACAAGATAATATAGACAATTTTAATACGACTTATCAATTCATTCTTTGTATACGACCATTTGAAATGATCGCATTAGTGCTTTTGTGAAAATGGAAAAACTGGAACATCGTGGTGTTGTTAAATTCTTCGTAAAGAGGGGTTAAAAATAATGGAAATGTATTCTAAAATGGTAGACGTGTTAGAGGTCTCGGCATCTTTTAAAACAATCATCTATGAGTGGGTCGGTTTATTTAAACGTGGCCATACGAACATTGAAAATGACGCACGTGAGGGACAACCGAAATTGGTCTCAACATCAAAAAATTGTCACAAAAATTTAAGATATGGGTTTGAAGGATATTAGTAATATATTTTGGAATTCATGAATCAATGTGAATCACTTTAACATTTTATATGTTTACTGGAGATTTCTACTTAAATATATTATTATACTAATTGTATATGTGAAAATACTGCTTAACATATTAATTGTAATATAAGTAACAAAATTAATTTTTTAAATTCATTTACAGAATGCCCGTTTGGTAAATGGGGAAAATTTTGCCAACGAAATTGTCAATGCCAGAATAATGCACACTGCGATCCAGATAATGGCGAGTGTATATGTACTCGGGGATGGACGGGAAGATTTTGCGATAATACTTGCCTGCTTCATACCTATGGACAAAACTGCAGTGAAGATTGTCGTTGTCTTAACCATGGTGATTGTAATCACATTTCCGGTGAATGTCATTGTACTCCTGGATATACTGGTCCATTGTAAGTGTATTGTTAAATTATATATAGTTAAGCAATTAATTTTTATTTTTTATCTGCAACAAAACGTTCATAAAAGGAAAACCTTAGAGAACGATGCAATTTATTGTCACTGATCTCAGAATTTTGCACCCACATTATTAAACGTTTGTCCCCAATTGGCAGTTCATAATGGTTCTCTTATGATAAAAGAAAGATGAACTTTTATAACAAGAAGAACGAACATTCTTTGTGCAGTAATTTCATGCACATATTTTTAGCACTTTCTCATAGCTACAATGATTCCGAGTATTCATTCTACTGACTTCCTCCTCCATAAAAGTGGCCTAGAACATACGTATGTTCTAGGCCAGGTGGGGAACACGTAGTTAAAGAAAGTCCCTACTAGGAACTCTAGTGCTTTCTGTGATATATGTTGCAACGGTAGTTGATTCAATCAATTGATACGTTCGCGATTCGTAGCACTCGTGATACTGGAGCGAACGTCTAAGAGAGAGAGAGAGAGTGGACGCGCGAGAGTTTAAAGTTTCAGTTAAGCCTCAACTGTTGCTTGTGAGAGAGTACTGCCAAATAGATTTCCACTATGTTTTGTCGTTATATCCATTCGAAACTTTACTTGGTTTTTGGATACGTGCGCGAGTGAACACGGACAATAAAAGTAGCAGCAAAAGACAGCAGCAGTTAACAGCAGCATAGATTGATTACAGCAGGCACCGATCTTTGTGACCGAGATAGCGTAGCTGGTTCCAGAGGAGCACCAACATTCGATTTTCTTCAACAATTACGGCTGGTCACCGTAATTGTACCGCAGGGTAGGTGTACCTCGCTTTTTTTGCGTCACAAAATACTGGCGATACTATTTTGTCAATCGTGACCGTTTTTGTATTCGCGCCGAGCGTTAGTTTTCACGGTTGAATTATGAATTTTCTCTCTCTCTTTCCCCGTATTATTGTTACACATTGGAAATCCAATTCGCGTGCGTAAGTCTTTCGGCCCATCAGAGACTGTAATTTTCTAGTCATAAACGATTTTGATTTTATTTGCTGCATTACGTTATTTCGTTTCCTTTTAGTTTCATGGATCCATCACCGATTAATTTTTAAACCGATTTTATCTAGGGAATAGTTGGAATAAACATTAGGTCACTCACACCTAAGATAGATCGAGTGTCACAAGTCATGTGACTTAAGGTGAGTTCAACTCTGTTGGAAAGAAGACATTGGAACGAAAGTATCAAACGTGGGAGTTTGTTCTTTAATAAACCCATTTTGTACCAACTAATCCACCCCATTACAAAACATACATTATTTAATAAATAACTACTTTTCTCTGATAAGATAATAATCAATTTTTACTCGTAATAATCATTGAAATATTCAGATGATTGTCTATACCCAATTGAAAAACACTTGATGCTGTTACATTAATAATGACATAACATTTATGATTTAGCAACTAACAAAGAGTTAGTTATACAGGGTGTCCAAAAAGTAACGATACACCTGAGAAATTTTCTAAGCCGGTTATTTTTTTCACCGGGTGAAGGTTGTTCTTGAAGTAACTTTTTACGAGGAATCCGATGGTAACCTTGGATTTGACCTTGAACCTCATTTTCAAGGTTATTTTGAGGTCAACCTCATTTTTTTTAAATGGAAACCCCTATTTTTTATGGCGGAATCGGAAAGAGCGGAAAATTTTACGTCCAGATATGTATTGAGGTATGAAGTTGAGGTAACCCCTAGAGGTCAACTGGAGGTCAAAGTATGAATTCTTAAAAATTTCGCGAATTCAGTGGTTAAACAAAACAAACGAAAGGTTAACCCCAGGTAACTTTCAACGGTGCTCTTTAATTTGTCCTTGAACCTCATTTTCAAGGTTATTTTGAGGTCAACCTCATTTTTTTAATAGGTACCCCTATTTTTTATGGCGGAATCGAAAAAAGTGAAGACTCTCACGTATGGATGAGTTGAGGTTTGAGGTTAATGTGACCTCTAGGGGTCAGATGAAGGTCAAACTGTGGCTTTGTAATAGTACCGGGATTTTAGTGGTACAAGGAAGCAAATAAAGGTCATGGAAACCCCCATTTTCGACAGCGGCAATCGAAAGAGCGGAAAATTTCACATCCAAATATCTACTTACAAGGAAGGTACCCGAGGTGTACCTCACCGATTTTCTTGAAATTGTGATATGTTGTAGAACATCAAAAAATATTCGACGCTTATTTTTTTATACGTGCCCATAAGCCCATTTAAGGGGTGAAACCCACCCTTGAAGTTCACCCCTAAAAACAAATTTTTTTTAATTTCTCGAATACAATTCGTAATTTTTTACTGAAACAAAGTGGGTAACACTTGTTATTGAAAAGCACATATTTATACATTGTTTTTAGTCATCAGACTCGTAACCCCCGTTTTTTATTAATGAAAAACTATATTTGATGACCATTTTTTTCACTATGCACATTCCAAAATCTGTTAAATCTTGACAAAATTAATTGTTTTATGCACAATAATCAAAAATAAAGTTGACCTGTTCCGGCATTTTCAAAAAAAAATCCCTTGAGGGGGTGAGCTACCCCTAACATTTATACTATTATATTTCATTATTCCATTACGATATCATGGTGTAAATCTCTTGGATACTATTAAAATTGTTAAGTAGTTGATGTAGTTTGAAATTTTCTGAAATCAGCCCTTACAAATGAATTCATCCCTAAAACTCAATCTCAAGTATTATTTTTTCATTACTTGAAAATACCCTAGGACTATTCAGTGGCATAAAACGTGTAATAATATTAGTTCACATCCTTGGTATTGAATTAGAATTCTTCACCCCACTAATGTATCAACCCCTATTTTTCAATAAAAAAATGACACCCTTTTCCATATGAAAATACTAGTTTCTTGAGTTTGACGAAAAAAATTTTGGCAGTATGCACAATATTCAAATACGAAATCGACTGTTCTCACCTTAATAAAAATAACCTATAATAAGGGGTGTACCAGCCCCACAGGAGATATTGTCGTATCTCTATGATTTTATTCTTTTTCTATGGGACTTTCAAAAGTAATAAAAAATTAATGATTCAAAGTACAAAAAAATTTTAAATTTAATATTTCAATAATTTCGAGTTTTAATGTTACTTTTTATTATCCTGGCAATAATGATAATCATTAAAAAAATGTTTCAAGCATAATGATTTCTTACACCAAGAGCATCTTACAATTGCTGAGTTAGAGCAACCAGGAACTTCACAACGCTCATTATAATCATTACCAAAACTAAAATCTACGGGGTTATCAAATTTATCTGGCTTTGATTCAACGTAGCCACTTTTATACCATGAATATTTGAATAGGTTATTGTATCGAGGAGATGACAATTGATTATGTACCAAGGATTGGAGTTTTATAATGTTATTTCTTTTATGAAGTTCTATATCCTCATTCATTAATGTTACACTGTCCTCGAAGCGACGGACGTAATTTTTCCACACTCGGAAGCCAAAAGCATCTAGTGGCTGAATTTTGCCTGTTGTTCCTTTTGGAATTATTTTTACATCAACAATTTTGTTTGGAGGTGCTGCTTCCTTTACAGCATCAGGACAATGCCCACTCCACGAATCAATTAATAAGACACTTGAATGCCCAACATTGGGAAAATACACATCCTTCAGCCATGTTTTGAAATGTTCTGTAACCATTGAAAAAACTCATTTTTATTCACATGACATAAGTTAAAAACTGTAATCATCAATAATAAATATCATACCTGAAGTCAGTTTGCCAGAAGCGGAAGGCATCATGTAAATATTTGATGGCTTGAATAATTTGGATTCTACTACCAGTCCAAAGGTTCCTTTACTTTCTTTTAAAACAATGAATAATGGGGAAAGCAGTCTCCCATCACCTGAAATGAGTGGTTGAATTGTGTAATTGTGAGTCGTCGAACTTACAGATTCTACAAGACATTCAATTTGCTTTTCGCCTTCAATAGCTAGTGTTCTTCCCGAGTGCATTTCAATTTGAAATCCACTCTGATCTGAATTGTAAATTGATTCCAAACCTTTGCTTTTAATTATTTTTTTCACATCTGAAACAAAATCATCAGCTGTTTTTTGTAAATATTCTCTCCCTTCAACAGTCTTTTTTGTTACGAATTTATTTATCTTTCTGCTGACTATTCTGTGAGCCTTTTTAAAATTTTGTAGCCAATGACGTGACGCTTTAAACCTTATATCTTCATGTCCAACGATTTTCTGAGCTTGTAATGCCCATTTTTGTAAATCTCTATCGTGAATTATATAACCGGCATCGGAAGCCGACTGAAAATTATCTAATACAAATTTATTGATTCTTCCAATTTTTTCTTTATAAGTGCCTCCTTTATTCAAAGTATGCGCCCATCGTTTCAACTGTGTAATTGATTGGACTTTTCGAAATCTATGCTGCACAGTTTGCAGAGCGAGATTTTTCGTAACTCCGCTTCTCCAATAGTCCACAGCTTTTCGTTTGTAATCCCAAGATAGATCTTCTGTATCCGCTGTACATACTAGTGAGTATTCATCAACATCCGCTGACCAGATTTTATCAATATCTTCAACAATATGCATTTCAGTATCCTTAAATGGTTCTTGAAAAGCTAATGTAGATTCCACAATGAATTCTGGATCCTCAAAGTTATTTATATAATCAAGTAATAGTTTTTCTATATTATCCTTCAAAGCAATTTCATCTTTAGTAATGGGACTTTCTTGTATATTCATAACTTGAAAAGATAATAATAATAATTGTATAACATTTATAGGATTAATAGTCATTTTTCCAATACCTAGAAATAATAATTATTATTTGTTTTTTATATGATGAAATCCGAAGCGCATTAATTTGAATATTTTTTTACAAAGTCAGGCAATAATTTTTAATATCATTTAAATCAACATTACACTGACAATTACGTATCAATTTCATTTCTAATTTCTTCGAACGATAATTGAATATTGA